GGGCTTAGGCCCAAGACCAGTGAGGTCACCCCACATTTAGAGCTGGCAGCACCTCTCTAGGTGGTGGGTGGCAGCAGCTCTGTTACCCCTTTCTCTGTACACGATACTGGGAGATGCTGTACATAGAGGGGCCCAGGAGACCCCTCACACCAATTCCACCCATTTGCTGCCTGGGAAACATTTATTATAAGGGAACTCCACTTAATAAGCAACCCCCGGGGAGATTTAGGGAACTGGCAGGCGTTCCCAATTAAATTTGGCCAGCAGCATCTGTTCTTAAAGTTTACCCCACATTTCAGTTCCCAGGAACTTTAAATCCCCTGAAGCCAAAGTCACATCCAAACCTGCAAAGTCGTGACTTCAGGCTGGGGCCTAGAGATCACAAGGTTCCAGGACTCCACCCCGTTTCCAGTGGGCAGCAAAGTTGGAGCATTAGTAGCTTACAGCCTTTCTCCTCAAGACATGCCCGTGTACCCCAGTGTTAGCATCACCTAGGAGCCCACTAGAAATGCAGCTTTCTGGCCCCACCTGCCCTCTGACTGAGGCTCTGCTGCAGCCCAAGGTCCTCAAGTGCTTTGTTTGCACATTAGGCTTGATAAGTACTGGACAGGATGCCCTTTAATGGGGCCTAATGGGGCCTGGTGATTGGAATTATCTCCACAAATGGAGAAGGCTGAATAATGGAATAATAATGACCCGGTGGGGACATGTGGTGATGTGTGCTGAGAGCAAGGCCCAGACGCTGCTCAAGGGCCTTAAAAAGCCTGAAAGCGTCTGTCTTACCACCGCATCTGCACAGGCTAATTCGCATGGCCCGACTCTCCCAGCAGAGTCCTACAGAGGCAGAGGTTTGGGTTTCTACTGAAAGCTTAATGTGCGACAAGACAGCTCTACATGCTTTGCACTTCTCATTCATTTCATCCTCAGGACTCACCGTGCAGCAGATGTTAGCAATTCTAATTTTGCAGCACAGTGAGGTTAGGAACCTGCCCACAGTCGCCCAGCTAGTCAATGGCCCGGGAAGGATTTTGCTTTGCTTATAGTTGCTGATTTATTTTTCCTGTGTTAGTGTTGAAAAGGAGGGGTGTCAAGTGCGTCAAGCAGAAACTGGGACCAGGAACAGTGCTGGGCTTCTGGATCCACCCCACTTCTGGCCCTTGTGGGGAGTCCGGCACTCCTATTGTGAGCCAACCTGGCACATCCTGTTAGCCCAGTGGCAGAGACCAGCCAGGAAAACACCCTGGGACCAGTCCAAGGCAGCTGCTGTGCCCATCCCAGACCTGTACAGAGCCAGGCAGTCTCTTCTGTGGTCCACAACCAGAGGAACAGCTGCAGGGAACTAGGTCACGACTACAGACAGTCTGCACACTCAAGAATAAGAAACACCATCTTCCAGCTCGGGTGTGAGAACAAAAGCTTTATTTTAATGTTTCATTATTTTCAGAACATCACTGGCAACTGGAAACTTGAATGCAAGGGTGATTTTTATAACTGTAGAGCAAGTAAAATATGATAGATAATGGAACTGTAACAATAAATACACCTTAAATATAAATATATACATGGGCATCCCACACATATAAAAGTCATGCTCTATAAACGCTCTGCCCACAGTAGTCTGTGGGGCACCGAACTCCAGGGGGGCACTCGAGGGCTTACACGTGTCCCATGAGTTATGGACATTTCCAGATAGCTTATGGAAGAGCAACACATTACAAATTTTGGGAAAAAATGATCACAGAGCAACTTTTAAAATATTTGATATATGTTTTGTTCTACAAAGAATGAGCACTTCTGAAATATTACAAATAGTAACACAAATATATTAGCTCATGGGTGTGTACAATGTACTACTTTATACTCCAAAATACCAACGATGAGTTGTAAGTTATTTTATATATATATATATGTGTATATATGTCTATATACACACACACACATATATATATATATATACTTGATCTGATGAACAATTTGGTATTGCTCTGGTGTGCTCTTGCTGTATTGCATGCATGCCCAGGGCACGCCATGGCTTGTCACTGATGGAGGGAGGACAGGCAGGGACAGAGGGAACTCATGGAGCCCCATGCTTATTTCCATCTCCCAAGCAATATTTTGAGTTTTTAACTTATTGGGTTAGGTCAAAACCTTCTGCCCATATGCAATGTAGGATGCGTCCCAGGAGCCACAGCTGCACCTCCGGGATGGGCCACATCAGTGCTGACAACACCTGATTCCGTGGAACTGACGCCTCAAGCCCCGAATCAGCAGGGACCCTGAAAGACCACTTGCTGTAGTCACGGATGCTATCACTTCCCTTCACAGAAAGTCACTTCAGAACAAAGACCCGCGACTGAAGCATCAGTAGCCTTCCCCTAAACTCACAGGCAAAATACAGAGGAACAAAATCTGTCCCAAAAGAGATCAAATTTCTGTAAGTTTCTCATATTGATGAAGCTCTAAACACTTGAAACGGTAGCCACTGGCTCGAGAGGGTGAGGAGCGGCTCTGGCTCACATCAGCAGGAGCAGGGCGGCTGGCAGGCGAGCTCACCCGGGAAGCCCCGTGCACACTGCAGCCCGGGGGAGATACCATGTCACTGTTAGCCAAGTACCCACCCAGGACCTCTAGGTCCCATTTTGGCCTCGAAGTCCTGCTTCTTTTGCCACTTAACCCACAGCCAAATGAAAACTTGGTAACATTTCTCTGAGAATAGAAACAGAAAAAAGGTAGAGACAAGTTGAAGGACAACTGCCTTAGAAAACCCACCAACTCGCTCTTCCTGACGGCTGTGGGGCGGCCACCTGCAGAGCAAGCCCGCGAGGGCCGTCCACTGAGGGGCCTGGCCAGAGCTCCCGTCCCGCTGCTGCCAGGCCGCCTCCGCGCCTCCCCGCTCAGGTCCGCGTGAAGGCCTCGTGGTGGGAGACCACAGAGCCAAAGGTGCTCAGAGCCAAACACATCCCAGGGAGAGTGGTCAGGGGAGTGGAGAGGAGGAGACAATAGCAAGGAAAGTTCCCCAGCAAGGGTTAATCTAGGGTTCGCTGAGAGCAGGGGCTGCCGGCTGCTGCCTCCCGCTCAGGAGCCCCAGGGAGTGCAGTCGCCCCA